ATGGTGGTAATGAAGTGTGTATGCAAACAGATTGCAAAAAATGTGAAAACTGTGGTCGATACAGTCTGTTAACTATGGCCTATTTTTGCAAAAATGTATGGCAGGATAGCATGCACAGATGCTGGCTACTGGAGTGCATTGAATCATGACCGTTTTTCAACGACTTAACCTGATAGCGTGAAACTCCCCTGACCGGAAAAGGGTTAACTGTCAATAGGTGACATGATTGCTTTGGATGCAGTTTATCACCTGATGGGCCTTACTAGCCTGTACAGAAAGGTAAATGCAGTGGACCAATCATCTAGTCATTCCTATACAGCCAAAGTAATGAAGGTCCAAGCTTTTCAGGAACTCATAAAGTACATCAAAGATCATTGCACAACTGGCTAGGTTTTCAACATGGCTCATTTGAAAGCACTATATGATAAGCGCCCTGCATTTCATGGTTACCCTCAGAGTCAATGCCATACAACATGACTACGAAATGATATTACCAGTCGTATTTCTGATATCTTGGCGATTCAAAAGTCATCTGGTAGCTGGGTTTGGTATTTGATGAGGACCTCAGTCAAGCGCTTCAGGAGATGAAGGACATGAGAACAGACATGAAAATATTGGCACAGGCAGTGAAGAACCTACGCTGAGATATGTTGGAAAAAGGCAGCCGTTCTGGTTCTTTCAACATAAACCCGGAAGCGGATTCTGTTGTGCCTTTGTTGAGATCTTTTTTGCATATGTTGTTAGATGGTCCTGGTATTGCTGTTGGCACACCTCCTGCTTATTCAGAGAAGATGGTATCGTCATTGGCTCAAATGATCGTGTATAACTCTGTAGGCAAAATGTCATCGAATCCACAGAGTGTGCCACGCCATCCACGTGAACAGGAAAATCTATTAACCATCATGCTAGCCATGAAGGCGCACATGGAAACAGGTAAGGAGAGTCTTGTGGATACACTTGCAGGGCAGCGCATGTGTGTGTGTCATATCAGCTGAGCACATGCATTACCCATTGGGAACATGAAGGTCTTGTTCTACCTTGTCAAGCCATCAAAAGAGTCTTCACGACTGGAGGGGTTGAGCATTGATTACAATCCATCATCTACAACTGCATCTCTCAGTCTGTCTTGCAAGGGACGGGCATCAGCAATGCAGCACTTCTCAACATATCAGGTACATACAGAGCAGAAGATGGTCTTAAATGCTGCACAAATGGGTCAAACGACCGTGAAACCACTCCCAATGTCTTACACAACAATGGAAGATGTCTCTCTGCTTATGGATGAAATCTCGCATTTTCCAGTTCTTTGTACATCATAATCTTTAGAGCATGTGCTTTGGGTGGCTGCAAAATGTAAATGATCACTTGCAACTGACAATGAATGAGGTAAAATAGGTAAGAGGTATTCTTGGTCAGCATGGCAGTCTCTACCAGATTTCATCCTCCTGCTCCAATTACTGTCTTCTTCCAACCCAACAGTTGAGATGATTGAGCAGCACAATCCCGTCTTCCACAATCAGCTCTACGGTGTGAAGGACGAGGATATAATGACAGTGGATGCTGCACTCTTGCATTATCTACCTATCTATTTATTAAACTAATTGAGATTAATTTCTGGATCACACTCAGGTGGATTGTTGAGTATACCAGATATCAGATCATACTTTTGCATTCTCTAATATTATTTTTCTAGAGTGGTCATGTATGGGGAAATTCTCTAAA